TCAGTGTCAGTATGCACAGTTCAAGTGCAGTGTCGAAGGAGATGAAGAAATAGTAAAGTAATGTAGTGAGGTAATTAGAAAACGACCTGCATGATATATGAATCTGTTTAGCTGCATTTCTCAACTGCCACAAGCTTTCTCCCTTTGCCTTTTCCCATCATCTTCGACTACCTAATAAGCCCCATTCTACTTCTAAGTCATGTTTAGTTCTCACCCAGCTAACAGAAGTAATTAGACCCCATCCCAGTGAAAATGATGTGCAACCACACACTAAACCTTTCTGCTGCTGGTCCCAATCTGATGTATGCAAGTGGATTATCCAGTATAGTGAGGTGGTAAATGGAATAATCAGAGGAGAACAAACATTCAAATTGTCAGTGTATCAGGCACGATGAGGGGATACAGACTTCGTGTTTGTAAATGCATTACTTATACCACTAGAGCTGTCACATCCATTTACCCGGGGGAGTGGGAGGGAGGCTTTAAACCTTCTGGTATGCATGATCAAAAACTAGCACAGAACAATTGAGGAAACTTGTGAGCCTGTTGCGGCTTCTGTCCAAATTTTTTAATTCCTTCTTTTCCTGCATTAGAAACTTCTCTAATGGCGAGGCCTGATCATGGAGCTCTGCAAAAAAAAAGCTGTTTAAATAAATGCCTTAAAACCTTAATTGACTACCCTTCAATGGTCACTGTTGAAATCCTGTGAATTCTTTTGCCTGTCCAAGTGTCCCCATGTCTGTGTGTATTTCTCGGCACACACATATCAACCGCTGCCAGGGTTCTTCTTGACTTTTCAGAGTTTTGCACGATCGTGTCCAGAGGCACAGAGGGATCTTTTGGCTTCATTTGCATGTAAAGTGGAGCGCGCTCTTTCTGTGGGCGTGAGGTGCCTCCAGACAGCCCCTCCCCTGTGGCCTGCCAGACTGAGCCAGCCAGCAGCCCTCACTCTTCTCCTACCTGCTGGGGTGGGGCATGACAGCACAGTGCGCAACATCTTAAGGTCCTGTCAATCTCTTCAGTGCCCCGACTGGGGTCAACCTTCTGAAGAGCAGCAGGTTGGCAAGGACAAACATGACCCATTCACAAAGACTCCCCTCAGCCAGACAGACAAAAGGCATGGATAAGATATTAAAAAGGCTCACACAGGGCCGCTGAGTATCAAATGCAGGGATTGCAATGCTCCTGGCACTGTATAAGTATCCAATAAAACAAAAGTATGGGGAGCTAATAAACAAGTAGGGTAAAGAGACTGTGTGTAGACAAATGCACTGAGAGTGGCACTTTGTGAAAAAGTCGATGTTGATGGAAGTTGCTGGGCATTTCGGGAGAGTGTTGAAACCATCTTATCAGAGTTAATAAAAGGAGAGGGTGTTGCTGGCTGACCCATCATCTCTCTTCTCATCAGTGTGGTCTCCAGTCTCACAGCAGTGGCTAGAGGAGTGGGACCTGGCTCCAAGATTGTGTTTAGATAATGGCCATCTCCAATCATAGATAATCTGGCCCCATCTTTTCTTCACAGACACAGCAGCAGACAAGGTCAGGGGGAAAAAGATTCCTGGCGAGGCGAGGAGGAGATAGGGATGGGGCGGCTCTGAGATGATTTACTGCTGAGATTCACTCAGCTGCCTCCATCACCCTCCGTTAACTTTCTCATCCTGTCGTCTCTTCCCCTCTCGCTCTTTTTATCTTCCATCTCTCGCTCCCTCGCATTCCTCCATGGGCCTTGTACTGAATCCCCACCTCTCTCACTATCACTTGCTTCATCTCTCCCTTTGCACTGCAGTACCAATGAGACAGAGAGAGGGGAAGAATGGGAAAGAAAAGAAACAATATATACAGAGAGAGCAAGAGATGTCTACTTTCCCTCATGTTTGTCCCTTTTGGATTGAAGCAAATTTTTTTGGTTTCAAGTGGAGATACACTGTAGCATGTCTGTTCCTGCTCAGACCACAGAGCGAATAGGCAGAGGACCCATGCCTTCGATTGTGTCTCTGTATCTCTGAATTTAAATCACGGTTTGATAGAATTGGGCAGGAAAAAAAGAATGGTGTTAAGCGCATCAGATAAATGCGGACTTTGTGGGGAAGAGGTCGGCTGCTCAAGGAACAGAAATAGATTTAAGGACTGTGAAGCGCCCCTCCTATGCTCCATTCTTTCTTGATAATCCAAGGAAAAAATAAAATAAGACATGAGTCATTGTAATAGACAGCCAAAGAATCAGCTCTGTGATCCACAATGGCAGCCGAGCGGCAGGATTGTGCGCTCTCCACCCCCAGTCATTTTCTGAGCTCTGGTTTTACTTCCACTCCTGACACTCCCATATCCCCAGAGAAAGGACGTCTCTCAGGGACACCGTGAACAAAAGAGGGGCTACTGGAGTCTCCAAATGGAGTAATGGGCCCTAATGCCTGCACAGGCACGTAATCGAGACCCCAGCACAAGTTCCCATGACAGATAATTGCTGATGTCTTGGTTGTGATAAATGTGACTCCATTCTAGAGGTACAAATGTCCTGGTGCAGCCCTGGGTTTGACAATCTGGAGGCCCCACTGGGATTGGTGAACCTGACTGCTCCTCAGCCTTACACAGATGAATCCCTTGCTACTTTCTCTCCTTTAGTCAGCCCTAGCTGGGCTGTCTATTTTCCTTTAACCACAGGCCTTCATAGTAAATCTCATTTCATTGTCAGCCGCGACTGTGGTTTACTTCCCTGGCCTGTCTGCTGACTTCCTGTTGCCATTAACGCTCAATATCTCTGTTGGGGCCTGTCTGCTTGGTCTTATTTCATTCTGTGCTGTGTCCTATCCTGTCCTCCCATATAGAAAGTTCATCTGACAGACTAGCAGGGGCTGTGCCAGCCTAAGAGCTCTCTGTATTTCATTCACACTGCCTGTTCATCTCCCTTTTCTTTCTGCTGAAAAAAAGGGTAGTAATTGATATTGGGGCCCATCCATCCTCCCCTCTTAAGTCCAAAGATCCAATTTATCTTGGTGAGAATGCCGATTGGCTCTCGCCCAGACCTTGTCGGTCAGACTTTGCCTGTTTTTAGATGGCCGTTAATTAAAGTGCCGCCATGACAAAAATAAGATCTACACGGGGGTGTGTGTGGCAATAGAAATGGGCCATCTGATTCACACTTGACCACATAAATCAGCGAAGTGGCTCAGTCTAATCTGACCTAGGCAGTCTAAATCACCACTCTGAAATGCAAGCACAGGGCAGACACAGACCGGTCCAATTAGATCCAATTCCACCCATGTAAATCTTTAACAGGCTTAATCTGCATTAACCTCAGCGATGTTAGTCACAAATGGCTTCAGAATGATCTAGTCAATCACCATGTCAGTCAGACTAAAGATGGAGGGTGGAGGCTGCGCAAGGGAATCGGTGCAATGTCAAAGCACGATTGCACATTTAAATGTCATGACGCATGCTTTGAACATGCAGGTTTACTTTTTAAAGGAGAATATTCTTTTAAGCAAGTGATCTCACACATTGACTACGTTTACATGCACATATGACAATATTCTGTATTTGATATGGGTCATGTTAACAGCATATTCCGTTTAGATATTCTGAATCAGGCCTTATGTCGAATGTACTATTTCCAGGTAAGACGTGGGATATCCTGATGTTATTCGGGTTTTAGGACCATTCTTTGAACATGTGTGCAGCATTTGGAATACGCATCTGAATTGGGGTCTTTACCACAGTTTGCAACGCGCAGCCTCTTGCCTGTTAAGGTTGGCTCTGTGCATTGTCATGGATGCATTGTAAACAAACCAACTAGCCAAAAGTTTCTAAGGATGGTGTTAAGATGCATGCCCCTGAAAAACCCCACATTTCTGGTCGGAAAAAGAAAAACACCTACTTTTAAACATTCTGAAAGACTTGAATATCAACAGGTTTTTGGATATGAGCAAATTTTGCAATGCTGACCTTTTCAAGAAGATGGTTGGAGGTGTGAAAAAGGCAGGCTGTGTTCACGCAGTTGAACAAGTTTGCCACTGGTAGGAAACTTGATGCAAAGAAAGAAAATGGCACAAGCGGCTCCAGCTTCTCTACTATTCCGTATTTTGACGTGATAAACTTCAGGTCAGGGCATGTTAATCAGAGTATGCACAGCTGCATGTAAATGGGAATATAAGTGAAATATTCAATTGCAATAGCCATGTAAACAGCTCAGTAGGAATATTGTCTTTTTTGGAATAAGGGCTGAAAGAAGAATATATATAGACATGTACACGTAGTCTTTGAATCACACTAAATCTGACTTTGGTAAGTGATGGGTTTTCAATCTACCATCTAATCTATACATTTATAGTGAGTATTGTACATATGTATGTTGTTTTTATAGAAGTGAAACAGGGTCTGTATATAACCGTCAATTAGTTGCGCTCTCCATCTTCTAGACATAAACAGATACTGTGCATACCACAAAAAGCTTCCAAACTCCTTAAATAATGATACTGTGTGTCCCACTTTGGAAGACTTATGCTGCCTCTTCCCTTTATTCAGTGACTAATAAATTAATACATTCAGTCAAATTGATACTGTATCACTCCTAAGTAGTAGCTCTGTGGTGTTTCTATAAGTTTGTGTGTTTGTGCTCGCCTGTGTATGTCTGGGGTGTATTCCACTGCCTCTTCTCTGTACGCAGACTTTACTATCACTCTATGGAGATCAAGGGATGGAGATCCTCCACTCCCCATTCTTTCCCTCTCTTTTATTTGTCTCTCTCTTTCTCTCCATGTCTCGCTGTCTTGTCTTTGAACCGCTCCCAGTGACTGTGAACCTGAGACAGCCCCTCTGCTGGCACAGATGGGAAGTCAATAGAAGCAAGTGACCTATATTACGGGCTACTCTACTAACTCCCAGTGTGTCTCAAGTGAGAGCAGAATATTAAGGATTGCATGTGCGCTGTTCCAGTGTATTTGTGCGTTTGTGTGTGTTTTTTAAGGGGGGTGTGCAACGGAGACCAGGAGAAGGTTAATTACCTCCTCGTCCTTCGCTGTCGGCTGGCTTCACCTGGATGGGCCGGTTCATCTGGAGAGAGAGAGAAAGAGAGGGAGGGAAGAGAAGGGAAATCCCAGGTTAGCATGAAATGATAGGAGCAACGGCTACAATATGTGAAGTGGGTGAGAACAAGTGAAATGTGGCAGTGTTCCTGGCATTAATGTCCTGAGTTTGTCCTGCTCTGTGAGCTAAACGCAAAAATCAAACAGTGGCGATGCCGTAAAAGAGATAAATCTGTGCAGTGCTCCATGCCAACGTGTTTAATTAATCCAGGGCACTGCCTCTAGAGATGCCTGAATTCCCCTCACAGTTCAGCAGAATTAGCACTTTTCAATGACGGAGCCACACTGGGTGTCAGATGGCACTTGGAGATTAATGCCATTACATCAGCCACTCCCAGCCCCACAGGGAGAGGTCCTTTCAGGCTGGCCCTTGCTCTTCCTGTCCCCTCCTGGCTCCAGACTCCCAGTCACCAGCTATATCCTGCTCATCCCTGACCCTCAGCAATCCCTCTTTCTCTGCCTCCATCCCTTCCTGCTCTCTTTCCTCTCTACCCACAAGGCCTTTTGTGACTCACAACCAATATGCCACTGGTCTGGACAGCCAACCCCACCCTGCCCCAGCCTGCTCCTCCTGGAAGCCATTGAGAGCCACCGAACAGCGTAGCTGTGAAACAGCTTGTGAAAGGTTAACAGTAGGGAATCGATAAACAACCTTTGAAGATCCATTTTATAGTGAGGTGAAAGCAAAACGTCGCCAAGCTAACATAAAAAAACCCTTTTAAAAACTGCACGCCGTGAATAAAAACTCCCCTGGCTCTTTTTGCTCCCCTGTCTGTGGTTTCATTTTTTTCTCACTCCCTGGAGTTTGAATATGAAAACAGAAAAACACTCGATCTTGTGCCGTCTCTGAAACAGCAATAATATCCCCTCTTTCCTTTGTGAAAAGGGTGAGTGTTAAGAGCCACCCTCGAAGACCCTTGCTTATTGAGGCTACCCACGCATGTCATATTTGGCATTGTGTTTTATATTTGGCGTGGTGTTTTTTTCTGGCTTCAGTCAGCAGTGGGCCTATCTTTCTAACTAGGCCATGCAGACAGGTCCAACATGTGAGTGCCACTGAATGGCACACGGTACTGCCCCCTCAGATCAGTCAGCTAGGGCAGCACAGTGGGTGTTGGGCCCTCAGGCAACGCAGCACTTGACAGCAGTTGACCACGGCCAAATATAGACCTAAGACTTTGGACATGTATAGACAAGCATATACATGGTGACACCCCTGGGGACATAATGTACTTGCCGAGCAATATGCTGTGACACTAGAACAAAGCTTAGGGAGATGACGGTCGCATCACAAAGACAGGCAAATGAAGTCACACACACACAGACTGAGATGGAGTCACACTCATACAAATGAACTTCCCCACATGCAGATGTTCAGTAAGTGCAGAGTGTAATTTCCCTTGCTAATATGTGAGGTAAAGAGGTAAATATACATCATCTACTCTTGTTTTTTGAAGGTGAACAACATTGATAGTGTTTGACTTTGTGTATGTCATCGTTAAATTTTCTTATATTCTCAAGTTTGTTTAAGCTACAGCCATTATGTGTCAGGGGCTGACTTACTGAGGCTCTGAGAGTCCTGTTGGTTTGTGTTTAGGGCTGAAGGGTTCCTTACCATCATTATTATCATCCTTGTATGGCCTTAAACAACCAGACAGGGACACTATCATTCTCTCTGGCTGGATAGCAGCCATCAATATTCCCCTTAATATGTTTACATGTGAGTCTGAGGTGAAGTGCAGGTAGGGTAAAGCACTGATGTATGTGGGTATGGAGTGGAGAGAATTAAGGTCAGTTGGATCAGTTAGTTAAGGTGGGTTCTGTGTATATATCGCAAGTATGTGTGTGTGTGTGTGAGTGTGTCTTGACAGCAGCTGAGGTTGGGGGCAGAATTTGTCTCACATAAGAGGTTTAGAGTAGCCTGAAGTCCCAAGATCCCTGTCCAGTGATCAGTCAGCTTCCAGGTCTTAAACGGCAGCGATTGGTCAGGAGGCTTCATTAGTAGCCCCTGAGCCACTGTAGCAACAAGAGTCATTAGACAACCCAAAAGTACACTTGGGGTTGCTAGGCAACCAAGCGGAGGTGGCCGGCAGGCAGGCAAAGCAAGCTGGCCGTTGGTCTGCGGGCTGTTAGCCAACCAATTGGCACTCCTTTCTTTCTTCTCTTTTTTCTTCTTCTTTTTTTCTTTACTTGGTCCAAGGAGGTCATAGTGAGGGGGGAGGGAAAAAAAAGATTTCTCAACTCCCACCTTCCAGCATGTCCCACTTTCATGTCCCTTTTTAGTGACTGTGACAATGAGTTTTCAGAGCGAGTCTGCTGCAACGTCTGCTCCAGCTTCCTGCCAAATTATGGAGTTCAGCTAGATGCCAAACTATGGAGTTGTGAGTAGCGCTCACATGCATATGGCAGCAGTTAAGATGTCTGCTTCTTTGAGCTACTTTTAGTGTCCTCTACATACATTTTTTTGTGCAAACAGAGGGAATGTTTCTCGTGCACGCGCTTACTGCACAGAAATCTTGAAGTTCACTTTACTTTTATCCTCTCGCTCTCTCCCTCTCTCTCTCTCTGTCACACTCACACACGGAGGCACAAAAAGTCTAGGGGCTCAATAACAGCAGGTGGCTTAGGTGACATTTTAATCCCTTATTACTGAGTGCAGGATTAGCCAACAGATCAAGGCAGAGTTAATTATATGAATTCATCAGAGGCTGGGCGAAGAGGCAGTCTGCTTTCCCCTAGGGCCAGGACCCACCCCCACACCCACCACCCACCCTTTGCCTACTCACACACACATACACACACATAAAGAAAGAGGACAAGTGACATTCTGTATGTCTGAGAAGCTAGCTGCTTCCTTATTAGCATTGCAGCGGCAGAAAGCTAAGATAACGCATACAGTGGAGCCTCCAGAGATGCTGTAAGACAAATGACATCAACTACCTTCCCGTTGGGCCCTGCAAAATGAACTGCATAGACATTGGAGAGGAAGACTACAGGGTTTTTCATCCTATAGACGTGTGGCTGCCGAGGCTGAAAGGAGTTCAACACCCCCCCGTCTTGCTTTATCTTTGTCTCTCTCTGCCCCTTTGGCCTCCAAAACCAATATGCTTCCCACCACAGCCCCTTAATGGGTTGATCAATGCTGACAAATAGGCAGCTCATGCTGTCTTGCCTGGGAACTCACAGCTCTGTGCCTGTGTGCTGCTGCACTTAGAGAGGCCATCTCTCTTTTTCCTCATCTCTCCCTTTTTCTGTCTTTCTCTTTCTTTTCACTCACTTTTCTCCCTCTCCATATTTCCCCCTCCTTCATGCTCTATTTCCTTTATGTCTATACATTCATTTTTTTTTCTTTGCTCTTATCTCTAGAGGCAAATCTATATTTTTCATTCTGTTATGATGAATAAAAGTCCGCTGAAGTCACGGAGGGGTAGGAAACCAACAGTGTGAAAGAGAGGAACTTGCTTACATTTTCCAGTAACGGACTTTGTGTAAGTTTCAGAGTATGTGTGTGTGTGTGTGTGTGTGTGTGTGTGTGTGTGCATTTCAGTCCATCTATCTTGCTAGTCTGTCTGATTGATAACAGTACAGTGGAGAGAAAGAGAGACAAGGACACCACTGGCCTTTGACCGTGTTTGACCATGCTTTGTGAATACCACTGCTCACAGAACAAGCAAGGAGAAATGCTATCAACCAGAAACTCTAAATACAGAAAAATGTTTTTCCTGAATCACGAGAAAGGTGTGTGCACTTGTACTCTTCATACACTGTCAAGTTTCTTTAGCTGTCACTCTTTTCTTTTTTAGTTGACTAGCAATATCCAGTGTGAAGATGGACTTTTTAGCGATCCAAAGTTCAATTGGACAGATCCTGATTTTCAAATTTGAATCTATGTATTTGCTGTCACCTTGAATCTCATCTACTAAACAACACTGGAACAGTTAGTACTTCTCAATTTCTTCTCAACACCCTAATCACCTATATGATCACTTAATATTTATGTTGTAATAATTTGTGCATCAGACAGAACGAACCAACAGAGACACACAGATAATTATGATGTAGAATGAGCACTGGGCTGAACCCACAAAAATCCCTTTAAGTGCTGATCGTGCAATTAAAAGACAAGTCACTCAGAAAAAGACAGTGAGCTAAATGCACACGCTATAAAATGAAATATATTTCCAAACAGTGGTTTAACAAAGCTGTAATGAAAATCATCTTTGCCATGTTGGGCCGTATCTTACCGACACATTTACAACAATCTGCAAAGTTTTGTGTCTCGCGCACACGATGCACAATGAAGGCACATCCTGGCGCACCTGCTATTTTTGTTCCTCAGTGAGCATCCACGCTTGACAGGCATGTTGGGTGAAGTGGGATATTAATAGGAGGGTGTGGTGATGAATCATTACCCTCTCAGCCAGTCACATTACTCATCTCATAACTTTTAAACAGTTGTGCCAATCACAGTGGCACATGACGAATAAGGTTCACCAAATGAAAGGAAGAGTGTAGACTAATTTGTTTAAATATAAAAATATGCTTGTCCAGGAAGTGCAAAGTGACAAAGGGACATATACACAGCATGTCTCCACAAATTGGGTGCCATAGGCTGGTGATGAAGTTCTCTACGATGAATTTACATTTGTGGAGATGCAATTTTTCAGTCTTAATTCATGCAGTTTTATTGTGAAAGACCGTTTGTGCAGTGTAACAATGCAGCCCAGTAAAACTAGAAGAAAACTAAAATAAAAGTAAGAAAAATAAAGTAAAGAAAGTGTCACATTGCCATTCTGGTTCCATTTAGTTTAGTTTGTACTGGGAAATTAATAAAGTTAGACTTACTTAGTTTTGGCTGCATCTACATGCAACAACAAAGTCACTACTGCCAAAACTGTGATTGAGCATTACTCTGTTTGAGCCCTGCATAAACTCACAATTCCCCCAAATAATCCTGTTTACATGACT